AGTGCTGAAAGCCAGGGAATAGAAGTGTGTTTTTAAGCGAGATTTAAAAACTGTGAGGGAGGGGGCCTGTCTAACGAGCAGAGGTAACTCATTCCAAAGTCTTGGGCCTGCTACAGAGAAGGCCCTGTCACCTCTGCGCTTGAGACGGGTTCCTGGGACTGTGAGGAGCAACTGGTCTGCTGATCTGAGAGAACGTGGTGGGACATACGGCTGGAGCAGATCAGTAAGATAGGAGGGGGCAGAGCTGTTTAATGATTTATAGACATACAAGAGTATTTTGAATTTGATTCGAAGGTGAACCGGAAGCCAGTGTAGGGAGGCCAAAACAGGTGTAATGTGCTCCCTTTTGCTTGTGCTGGTCAAAAACCGGGCTGCTGCATTTTGGACCAGTTGGAGTCTAGCTATGGAGGTCTGACTGATACCAAAAAGGAGTGAGTTGCAATAGTAGAGCCTGGATGTAATGAATGCATGAATTACTGTCTCCAGGTTATTTTTGGACAATATGGGCTTCAGCTTAGACAGTCGCCTCAGCTGGAAAAAGCAGGATTTAACAATCATATTTACATGATTGTTGAGTTTCAGAGACGGGTCAAGTATCATTCCTAGATTAGTGACTCTTTGTTTCACTAACGGTGACAGAACGGATAGGTCGATGCAGTGGTTGGTGATTGTGTCATTGGGAGGAAAGAGCATAACTTCAGATTTCTTCTCGTTGAAACTCAAGAAATTTCAAGCCATCCAATCTCTGATGTCAGCCACGCAGTCCAGTAACGGTTGAATAGAGCGAGTGCCGTTGAGTCTGAGGGGGAAGTAGATTTGGCAGTCGTCGGCGTAGAAATTAAAAGGTATGTTATGTTTCCTGAAAATAGCACCTAGTGGCAGCAGGTATAAAGAAAATAAGAGGACCAAGGATGGACCCTTGCGGTACCCCCCATTTAAGCGCTGCCGAGGCTGAACTAAAATCTTTGATGGAGACACAAAAGGACCTGTCAGCGAGGTAAGATCTAAACCATTCGAGGGCTGACCCAGTGATGCCCACCCACTGCTCTAACCTCGCAATGAGGATCTCGTGGTCGATTGTATCAAAGGCAGATGTGAGGTCCAGTAAGAGAAGGAGCACAGAATCACCAGCGTCTGTGAATAGGAGAATGTCGTTAAAAACCTTGAGTAGAGCAGTTTCAGTGCTGTGGAGAGGTTTAAAGCCAGACTGGAATAGCTCTAAGATGGCATTATCCTCTAGAAAGCATTTCAGCTGGGACTCCACTATTTTTTCCAGCAGTTTAGCGACAAATGGGAGTCTGGAGACAGGCCGGAAGTTGGACATGACTGAGGGGTCAAGGCTAGGTTTTTTCAGGAGAGGTTGGACAGCAGTTTAAAAGTTATTGGCACCACACCTGAGGCTAAGCTGCTGTTCACAATGCCAAGAACAGGAGGGCCAAGAACAGGAAGAAGCTCCTTAAGGAGTCGAGGGGGGACAACGTCAAAAGGGGAGCCAGATGGCTTCATGCCGCACATGACCTGCTCCAGGGAAGACAGAGAGATGGGCTCGAAGTGGTCCAGAACAGCAACACAATGAGATGGGATGGACGGATCATGAGCAGGTGGAGAAATGAGTGCCCGGGTGTTTGCAACTTTTTTAGAAAAGAAATGGAGGAAGTTTTCACACAGCTCAGTTGAGGCTTGTAGAGGTGAAGGTTCACTGAGGTGTAGAACTGAGTTCAGGGTGGAAAAAAGGGCTCGGGGGTTGTGGGAGTTTGAGGCAATTATCGCAGAAAAGAACTTCGATTTGGCGGCTTTAACTGCCTTCTGATAATGACGCCAACTCTCCTTTAGGATTTGAAAAGAAACCTGCAGCCTGTCTTTCCTCCACCTGCGTTCTGCTCTCCTACACTGCTGTCTAACAGCTTGAGTGACGTCATTAAGCCATGGTTCTGATAAAAGTTTTGTTTTCCTGGTTTTAACGGGAGCAACACGGTCCAGAATATTTAAGCAAACGGAGTTAAGCTGAGAGGTTAGCTCCTCGGTGGAGAGAGACACTGAGAGCTGATCGATCCTCTCAGAGCTAAAAGCTTCAGTAAAACGTGCAGCAGTGAAACGGTTAATGGCGCGTGAAGTACGTACAGAATCACATGACTTAGCAGTAGGACAAGGCGGGATGATATCAAACAAGACAGGCATGTGGTCTGAGAGAACGTTGTCACCGATTACCAGATTACAAACAGAGACATCACGTGTTAAAATGAGATCCAGAGTGTGACCGTGTTGTTGGGTGGGAGCATTTACATGTTGAGTTAAATTAAATGAGTCCAACAAATCAAGGAAGTCCTTCACTAACGGCTTCTCCTGACAACAGACGTGAATATTAAAGTAACCAACAATAATAAAGTGATCATATCTTGGTGTGATGTAAGCCAGAAAATCAGAGAATTCACTTATGAAGTCCTTGGAACGAGGGGGGCGATAAACAATCGCACACAGAACGGGACGAGAATGTCCGAGTTCAAAAGCACTCAGCTCAAAACTGGAGCAGGGCATGAGGGTGGACAACTGTTTACAGGAAAAGTTTGATTTAAATACAGTTAATATGCCACCACCCCGCCGACCTGATGGCCGCGGGGCATTAAAACACAGACAGTCCGGAGGTAAAAGTTCCACCAAGGCGCTTGAATCACCCAAAGGCAACCAGGATTCAGTGAGAAAAAGAAAATCTAGTCCCTCGTCTTTAAAAAAGTCATTTAGGATAAAAGTCTTTTTGGCAACAGACCTTGTGTTGATGAGGCACGTCCTGATCTGGTCCGAAGCAGAACCAGCCATGGTGGGGGTGGTGCACGCCAACGGTTGCAGATTTTCAAAAACAGCACCTGCAGGACGGTCCAAGCGCCGGGCCGGGAGACAACACCCATATCTTCCCTGGTCCGGGTACGTAGGAAGCTGGCTGTGGAAACGTTGACCACGCAGAGCTTTGAGTTTTACCAGCCGGCCGGCACGTTTTCCCCGGCGTCTGGATCGATATCGCCGAGGAGGCAGGCTTGGGGCCCAGCGTAAACAAGCAGGCACGTCTGCCAGAAGGGGTGGAAGAGGGGGGTGTCCCGAGTCACGATCAAAATGGTCCGAATCAGCGACAGCAGAAACAGACAATCGAAGATCGAGGAGCTGTTGTCAGTCATACACAAGCAGCGAGTTGATATCCCAGACAAAAAACGAAAAAAGCAGAAATAATCCTAACAGTATCGTCAGAGGTAGATTGCAGGCCATGTACACGGGCGCCATCTTACCGGAAGTAATATTGGATGGATGGGTGGATTAGTAGAACGCCATTTTCTTTCCTGGTTTCTAGATTCCTGCTTTAAAGTACGTAACTCTGAATTGAACCAAAGAGCCAGTTTCCTCTGATTGATTACTTTCTTTTTCAGTGGAGCAATTTTATCAAGTGAAGTTTGCATTGAAGTTGTAAGATGATCAACTAGATGATCTAAGTCACTGTTCTCTGATGCATTACTCTGCAAGACAAAGGAAAACATTGATGGAAGAGATTGTTTAAATTTGGTTACAGCATTTTCTGATAAGCACCTGCTGAGATGAAATTTACTCTGACTGTTTAGTCATTTAATGTAAACTCAAAGGTTTTTAAAAAATGGTGGGACAGAATAGGATTTTGAGGAACTATTACCAAGTCCTTAATCTCTATACCATAGGTCAGAACTAAATCAAGAGTGTGATGATAAGAATGAGTAGATGTGCGGACGTTTTGGGTAAAACCAAATGAGTCTATAAATTATTAAAGGCTATGCTTAAACTATTACTCTCAACATCCACATGAATATTGAAATCACCCATTATGATGATTTTATCAGTATTTAATAGTAAGTCAGTTAAGAATTCTGACAGAAACTGACAGTAAGCTCCTGGTGGACGATATAGAACAACTAGTAAAAGTAGCTTTTCTGATTTCATTTTTGGATGAGAAAGACTGAGGGACAGTGATTCAAAAGAATCATAACTAATAACTGGTTTGACATTAATCACTAATCCTGACTGAAAAATAGAAGCTACTCCTCCACCTCGGCCAGTTGTTCTAGGAACATGAAAATTTAAATAATTAACAGGAGTGGATTCATTTATACTAACAAAATCCTCCTGTTGTAGCCAAGTTTCTGTCAGACAGAATAAATCAATATGATGATCAGTTATCAGTTCATTAACTAACAGGGTTTTAGAAGAAAGAGATCTGATGTTCAATAATCCACATTTAATGATTTTATGATTTTGCTCTGGTAAAGTAACTGTGTTTATTTTAATAAGATTTTTATGGTTTATATTTTTAGAGCTGATTTTTGGTTTATTTAATTTGATCCGTGGGCGAGTTGACACTGTTTCAATGGGGGTGTGGGTGGGTGGGTCACAGAGGAGAATCAGCAGAGAGGTGTGGAGGACTACAACTCTGCTTCCTGGACTGGACCCTGGGTTGTCAATATTTTGGGGGATAAACAAAATCAGACATATTTCTAGAAAGAAGAGCGGCTCCGTCCAAAGTGGGGTGGAAAAAGTTAGACTGAGACACACCTTTGCTATAATTTCAAGCAAACAAATAATTGTTTTTAATTGTTAATCTTTTTAAATTCTTATTAAAATCCTCCTCTGCATGCTCATGCGGCCGCCATTTGGCAGCCAATCGATTTTTGGCACAACACTGGCCCACATTTCCAGGTTCAGCTCACATTTCCAAGTTGTCAGCAGTGACGCGTAACAAACGTGACACGTGATGCATAATCGATGCAACGGATATGGCGAAGCGACGTATTTATGGATTTTTCCACTTTATTAGAAATATTTGTACTGATGCGACTTATAGGGCGGTGCGATGTTTACGGTGGAAAATATGGTATACAAATCAAAACGTGTTATACTCAATCTAATTCCAGCAGGTCAGCTTTAACTGCATTTTGTTTTACAGGTAAGCTGCTAGTCTCCCATCAAGCATTGTCACCTTCTTTGTTGCCATGGAAGCTGGTGTTCGTATTAGAGGAGTCCCAATAAGGTCCAGGGCCTCAGTTCGAAAAGAGGTTTGTCTGCCAGCTTTTGCTAATGCACTTAAACTGAAGTCTTTACTCTTGCACACATTTTGTTAATGTCTCCTTTCTAAAGCAAGTTCCTAAGTTAAATAAAACGCCTCATAAATCAATATGCAATTACAAAGTGAACATAGTTTTGATCTATGGATCTACTGATATATATTTATTGATCAATACAAACAGATCTCTCTTATAAATGAGTCCTCGAGGCTCACTGAGACTAACTTGTATAAATAAAGGTTGAATGAATGAATGTGTACAATACACCAATTGATGCAAACCATAGATCAATAGAAATGTACCATGGATGGATTGATTTCTACCATAAATCAATAGATACCATAGATCAATAGATATCATAGATTGATCGATAACAACTTCAGATGTATTTATACAGATCATGGATCGATTGATATGGACCGTCGATCGATTTATACAGACTGGAGATCGATTAACTTATACAAACGTTAGATTAATCATTCAGTACATGTCTTAAAACGATCAATATAAACTTTAGATTGATCAATTCAAATTTTAGATCCATCGATTGATACAAACTTTAGATCGATCGATCAACACAAACCTTAAATAGATTGGTCAATTTGTTTAAACATAAAATAGATTGATCGATGGATATGAATCTTGAATAAATTCCTCTGTTAAAACGTATTATTGTTGTAACTTTATTTTGTTTTTATGCTTATGGTATGTAAAAATGCAAATTGCTGAAGTGATTTAAGTATCAATTTAAATAAATGTCAGCTGCTTGGGAAATTGATGCAACAAAATGCACACAATGGTTTGTTGTGAATCTTTTTGTCAAGCAAGCTACCATAACAAATATATACAATAACCCTGGCTTGTTAATGCTAAGATTATGATATGTGTGTGTTTTCAGGCTGTGCATGACTGTGGGGCACAGTATACAAAAAGCCTTTTCAGAAATAAAAAGGAGTTGTGCAGTGTTGGCCTGGAGCTTCCAACCAGAGACACCACAAGGCTGACAGAGGTTTGTCCCACCAGCAGCAATGTCAACTCATGAATGAAGCTCGAGGACATTCAAACATGACAAAAATTATACTGACCATCAAATGTGTTCTTCCAGATTCAATTTGTGTGTCTGCCAGAACAAAGTGAGGGAGACAGTATCACCCAGCAGGTAGGTTTCCTTAAGGTTTATCCTAAAAGTTTAAAAACAAAACCACTTGAGTTTTATTCTGTAGTTGAAGACATTTCTTTCTCATCCCACAAGCTTTTTTTATTTGAAATTGGAGAGTTTGCACTTGCAAGCTTTAAACTCCACAATATTTATTTTATTCCCCTTCCTCCTGAGGATCATTAAGATGCTTATTAGCCTGGATCACAAAATAAATTAATTCAACCTTTATTTAAACAGATAAATCACATTGAGCCTCGAAGACTCATTTACAAGAGAGACCTGTTTGGACAAACAAAAACAGTGGTTAGAAAAGGAAAGAAAGCATTAGGAGAGATGGTATTAAAAAAAAAAAAAAGATCTCTCACGCCATGTCCTAGACGGGGCATGATTTGAGGCATCAAAAAAACCTACCACAGCAAAGCAACAAACAGACGTTATACATTTACATATAGGCCGGTGAAAACATTGAATTTTTAAGGGAAAGTCATAGCATAGTCCAGAGCCCCCTCTCAGCCATTGTCCAGATAAACGATGACATTCATCTTCAGCTCAGTTGAGGTTCTGTCACATGTCCACGGCCTTGGGGAAGGGAGGGGTGAGGAAACAGTCAAAGCATCTTTGTTGTTTTCAAAACATTCCAGGAGTTGAGATAAGTCCGGCATCAAGGCCACAATTTGGGTCAGGCAGAACTCGTGAATTGCTGTTTCTGCCTTTTTTAAAGTCTCGCTGGAATATATTCCTCTGATGGAAACTCCAAAACAACCGAATTGATCCTTTACACCAAAAGTCGAGCTCACAGCTTCTCCAAGATTATTCCCACCATTCATGAGTGCTGCCAGTGAGTTCACAGTCCTGATAACAGCCTGCTCCAGCTCCCTGCTGCAGCTTTCCAAATTCAGTCTGAGCACTGTCGAGCTTCGACACATCCACACGAATTTGTAGACAATCCAAGATTTCACCAACCCAAACAGCAGAATCTAGTTGTCATCATGAATCCAATCTGTTTTCGTCGAGGTAAGAGGGTCCTCCTTACCCTGACTCCTGTCGGGAGAAGTTGATCAATTTTGTTGAGAGACCAGCTGATCCTTCCAATTAAGAGGTATGCAGAAAAAAAAGAGGCTTTTTAAGGGTTCACAGGACGAAAGAATGCAAGCAGGGAAGCGGGGGAGGTATGGAGCGCCGGGAAACACGTCTGTCTTAACCGGAGTACAGAGGGGAAAAAAAAAAGTTTGGGTCACATGCATTAAGGTGAGAAATAAAGGGACAATGACTAGGTATCAAGCTTAATGCTTCATTGTACGTTTTACAAACGTGAAATTTGAGACGTATTCTGTACAAAGATTAAATTAAATAAAAAGTTGGTCTTTCTTTGTTGAAATATTAATGGCACTTTCCCACTGTCGGAACTCATCGGTTCTGCACCACATCGCACCAGTTAAGGGCCCGCCCACTGCCGGCACCTACCCCCACTCAGCCTGGTTTATGGGACCACCTTGTTCATGGTTCCAAGCGGACTTCTCCGATGTACAATTTTGACGTAAGCGAACCACATCCGTTGATTGCCCAACAGAGCCACATCACTGGATGACCCACCCGTCGTGGTGATGGACGGCGCCTCAAGAAATGAGCGCATTTCAGAGAGATATAAGAGATTATTGTGCAGCATGGCTACGCTTGAATTTATAAGCAATGCAGAGATAAGCTAAAGAAATTGAAGTCATATTATAGGGCGAGTAAGGACCACAATGTGCGGAGTGGCTCGAACACAATGACCAGTTACAGTACCACCCATTTTGCATTGATGATCCTGCCCGCAGAGCAGTGAAACAAGTCACAGTGACAAATCACCGACAACTGAGAATAGTCAATAAAACGAGAGCTGAGTGGAGTCACACTTACCAATGCAATGGCAAAGTGGCTTAAGTGCCCACCCCCAAACTGTTTGTCTAAAGCCAGGTTGCAGAGTTCTGTGCTGCATGCTAATTGGCTTTACCATTTAATTTGTCTTCCACTCTGTGTTTACTTTATCCGTCCAGGCTCTGTCATCTCTTCCAGGTGGTCTGTGTGAGCTCCTCAGGTCTCTTCACGTTCATAGCCTGAAGAATGATGAAGTTCTGTTGCTCAAAGACTCTTGCAGGCTGGCAGAGCACAGGGACACTGAGCCTCAGGTAGGTGTCACATGTCTCTTATTAAAGATATTTGCTCTGTCAGTGTTCAAGAAATCAGCAGAAATCAGTAAAGTGAGGGCAGACCAAAATGGAAATAGAAAAAAGCAATTGGGCTAGGGTCAAATTTTTCTGTGCTCATAATCTATTTATCGTTAGAATGTTGCATTTGAACTACTATTTTCCTTTAATTTTCTTTTACATTCATCTGCTGTATTGATTTCAAAATAGATAAATCTAGCAACAACTGAGAAGAGTCGATAAAACTTACAACATACAACATTGTAACAATTTGCAACATCGTAAAACTTGCAGAAAAAAATTATTTGCCACATTAAATCAACTAGACCTTCATCAGGTCTTTCTAACAGTGTTGAGTTAGGTCCTCAGGATGGATTCTTCTTTGTTGAAGTGTTTCATCTTTTATCCAAAAGACTTCTTCAGTTGGAGGAGCTGCAAAAAAACTGAAAGGCTCAACATACTCCATCTGAAGCCAAACAGTTGACTTGAAGTCATATGGATGTGAGACGGTCGTCTTCACACATCTTTCATAGTCCACGAGATGCAAGGATTCATGGTTCTTTATTTGTCATACATACCACATGTGGTACTTGTGGTGGAACGAAATTGTGTACACAGGGTCCCAGCTATATCAAACAAAAGTATAAAATGTAAAAGAAAAACAGTAATAAGATCTAAGATATGAACTAAGAAAAATGTTAACTAAAAATACACAGACATCACAGACTTCTACACCTCCAGATGCAGGAAGAGGGCCACCTGCATCATGAAGGACCCCACTCATCCAGCACACACACTTTTTGCCCTGCTGCCCTCAGGAAGGAGGTTAAGTGTAGAACCACTAGACTGAGGAACAGCTTATACCCTGAGGCTGTTAGACTCATGAATATCTAACCAGGATAATCTCTGTGAAAAAAATCACATCATGTTGCTGCTGATCTATTTCATGTTGCTGCTGATCTGTTTCATGTTGCTGCTGATCTATTTCATGTTGCTGTGTTCTTTCGTACTCATCTGCTCAAACAGACTCATGTTCATGCTGCTGTTCGGCGTATTCTTTTTATGCTATTAATGCTTAGCATATTTTTGTTAATGTTTTTCTTAGTTCATATCTTAGATCTTATTACTGTTTTTCTTTTACATGGGGCCCTCTGTACAAAATTTACACCAGCAGCAGTCCAGTCCTTTTTGTCTTTAGCCCAGGCGCTTCTGACGCTGTCTCTTGTTCAAGAGTGGCTTGACACAAGGAATGCGACAGCTGAAACCTATGTCTTGTGTACGGCTGTGCATGGTGGTTCTTGACGCACTGACTCCAGCTGCAGTCCACTCTGTGAATCTCCCCCACATTTTGGAATGGATTTTGTTTCACCATCTTCACAGGGTGTGGTTATCCCTATTGCTTGTACACTTTTTTCTACCACATCATTTCCATCCCTTCCCCTCTCTATTAATGTGCTTGGACACAGAGCTCTGTGAACAGCCTGCCTCTTTAGCAATGACCTTTTGTGTCTTGCCCTCCTTGTGCAAGGTGTCAGTGGTTGTCTTTTGGACAACTGTCAAGTCAGCAGTCTTCCCCATGATTGTGTAGCCTACAGAACTAGACTGAGAGACCATTTAAAGGCCTTTGCAGGTGTTTTGAGTTAATTAACTGATTAGAGTGTGGCACCAGGTGTCTTCAATATTGAACCTTTTCACAGTATTCTTGTTTTCTGAGATACTGAATTTAGGGTTTTCATCAGTTGTCAGTTATAATCATCAACATTAAAAGAAATAATCATTTGAAATATATTAGTCTGTGTGTAATGAATGAATATATATTTCACTTTTTGAATGGAATTACTGAAATAAATCAACTTTTTCATGATATTGTAAGTCTGAGCCTCCACAAACTGTGAACTTGAACTGATTGAGTACAGTTTTAAAGGAACATACAGATCCAGAAGACGACTCCTCAGCTGAGGAGAATCATGAGATTCCAAATGAAACTCCCACAAGAGAAAATCAAAGTTCATGCTCAATAATCCAGGTAGCAAAGTAAGTCCAGAGGACATGACTTAACTTTGTTGGATTCCACCAGTTTTTGTGCTAACTGAACTGCTGCGCAGTAGTTTTATGTGCCTCTGAATCTTGAAGATGTGATGATGCACAACACTCTTCTTGAAACTGGCTCAGACTTGACAGTCATGTCCACTGATCTTTTTGAATCCTTATGTTGCACTACAGACTTTGCAAACAAAGAACTGAAAGTTCAGTCTTGCAACATGAACATATGTCTGGTGGGTGGCTGTAGCTGAGCGGTTAGATCAGTCGTCCTCCAATGCAAGAGTTGGGGGTACGAATCCACCAGCAGTCACATGCCGAAGTTTCCCTGGGCAAGACACTGAACCCTCATTGCCTCTGATGTGTGTCCCATCAGTGTATGAATGCGATAAAGCTCTGATTAATCTCTTTAGAATGATTTGTTCAATTAGCTTTGTAGATCTAGTAGTGCTGTATGAATGGGTAAATGAGGACACAGATTCTAGTGTAAAGCGCTTTAAGTATCTCAATAAGATAGAAAGACGTTATATAAGTACAGTCCATTTACCATTTACTCTTCGGTTTGGCAGCACTGTGGCTTAGGGGTTAGCACTGTTGCCTTACAGCAAGAAGGTTCTGGGTTCAATCCCTAGTTTGAACCTGGGGTCTTTCTGTGTGGAGTTTGCATGTTCTCCTTGTGTTTGCGTGGGTTGGCTCTGGCTACTTTGTTTTCCTCCCACAATCCAAAAAACATGCATGTTAGGCTGCCAATAGGCCCAGACCTCCCTTGCAAAAGAGATGTGTGATATCAATGGGTTTGCCTGGTTAAATAAGTTATTAAAATAAAATAAATACATTTTGTCCTCAGTGGCACTAATACATATTTCCATAGGTCATATGACACTGTACATCTCGTAACTTGATTTGATCTCTCCTTTCATGATTTTCTTGACAACATTTAATCCGTTTTCAAACCCTAAAGATGTGGGTGCAGGTACATGAACCTCTGCAAATTTCTTTACCTTAGCAGTTCCATCCACGTTGTTATGTGCTGGAGGCCACAGTGAACTCGGACACTAACTGAACTGAGTCCTAAGATCAGACAGGCGATGACCAAGTAAAAGATGCTCCCTTCAAGATTGTGGTAGCAAACACTCAGCCAAAACAACCATTTTGCCAACACAACCCTTTTTGTCACCTGGACCCACTGACATCTAAGCCCATGATGCTTCTCAGATGTGACCTTTGACCCCAATATTTTGATAAACGCACTAATAAAGCACAGAAAGGTCCCATAACCATAAGTAAAGCATCTGATAGAACAGAAACAAAATACAGTGTCATTTCAAACGCCCCTGCATTCCCCGATGAAGATCTCATCAGGCTTCACTCTCTTGATCCTGCAATCAACAAAATCATTCTTTATCTCTCTGACCCTATCAAAAACAAACCATCTATGTTGGACCTTGACAACCTTTCCGACTTGCATGTTCTCTAAAAAGTGCATTCCTCAGTTATGATCAAGGGCATTCTCATGTACATGTATGTTTCTGATGCAACCACTTCACCTGTGCGTGGTTCCACGCAAACACCGGCAGATTAGGGATGGACAGTGCCCATTACCTCTCTGCTAGACACAAAAGTGTCAAAGCAACATTCAATATTTTAAAACGGGTCTGGAATGCGTGAGGATTTCACAAGTTATATAAAGACATGTTCAAAATGCTGTCAATTAGAAAATTTAAAACATAATTTACACAGAAAATATGAGTTGTCCCAAATAGGAGGTCCCTTATCTCATAAGAAAATGTTTTTAACAATCATCATGAACCTTTTAGTTTTCATAACCACAACAACCTTTCCCAAGAATCTGTAACTTGGTCCAGACTCGGGAATCATTCTTAAAGATCAACCAGGTTCACTAATTACTGACTGTCACTTACACACTTAAAGATTAGTTGTAAGATTGACCCTGAGGTAGTCTGCCAAATAGTCTGCCATCAGCAACTGTCCTCTATCGGCAATCTCACATCTGCAGAAAGATGCAGCTGGATCAAATAAATCATTGGAAATACAGAACTAGACATCTCACACATGCTAGACAAATTACAGCAATTCACAGTAACCCAAACTGCACTTGGTACTGGAAAAAGAGCAAATTGCTTCCTCTGAGAAATATTTAAAGTGGCTATGGTCCTTGGTACACTGTTTAATCTAGATGTTTTGTCTGTTAACTTGGTTAACTTTGCTCCTATCAAATGCCATAGGGGAGCTACAACAATAACTCCCTGAAAAGCAAAATCAACAAAAATGCTTAGGGAAAAACCCTAGAGACTTTGTCCACGTCAATGATGTGACTCTTTACCATCAGATCCAAAACATTTTCATTATTTGTAAGCCTTAATCACCAAAATTACAAGAAATGGAGGCTTGAAATATTTCACTCTATGCATAATTAATCTACATTATGAGTTTTACTTTCTGCAGTGATTGATAAAAAAATTATTTTTAACTTTTTCACAATATTCTTTTTTTTTTTTTTTTTTTTATCTGTTCCTGTAGCAGTTTTGATCAGATCTCGAAAATTACATTATGCTCAATATTGTGACATCTTCCAACATGTTAGCACTCCAAGTATGCATTGTGGATGACTGTCAGCTACCACTGCACTAAAATTTAGCTCAGTATTTGTAAAATATGTAATTTTTGTGTGGTTAATGTTAATTAGCTGTGGGACATATATTTAAGTGCATCTTAATCAGTTGTAGATGTACATCCAATAATTATTTTCTGAATGTTTCAATACAAATCATCTAATAGTCCGAGACATTTTGCTAATAGACGGGCATAGTTTTTATAATAGTTATGGGTAATGCTTTATTAACTGATGTCTGGTCAGTTATACTTGGTGTACATGTTGAAGATCACTCTCAGCTACTACCACACCAATGTTAAGTTCAACTCAAGTTTGTCATTCACATCACATGTGGTACATGAGGTGGACCAAAATTAGGTACTCAAGGTCCCAGTTACACCCCAAAATAACAAAAATATAAAGTGTAAAAAGAAACGGTTTACACCAAGATATACACTAAACACTAATAATGTAACACAATACGGTGCAACAGCAGCATGAGATCATCAGCACAAATAATCAGCAGCACAGATAAGTCACATATCACCAATTAAAGTGGCATTACAATGATTTTCTTTTTTTCTTTAAGTTAAGCTCAGTAACTTTAAAATTGGCTGAAGTACAGCTATTTTTCTGTTACGATAGTTGTCTTTCTGTGGCAGCCTTCTTGAATTAGAAATGTTAATTGTTTTTAATTGTTAATTCCAAAAGTTATTCATATGTAAATGTTCACCATATGATTACCTTCCAAAATTTTAAATAAATTCTGTCCAGTGGCTCATGAGACATTTTGCCAACTGTACAGGTCCTTCTCAAAAAATTTGCATATTGTGATAAAGGTCATTATTTTCCATAATGTAATGATAAAAATGAAACACTCATATATTTCATATTCATTGCACACCAACTGAAATATTTCAGGTCTTTAATTGTTTTAATACTGAGGATTATGGCATACAGCTCATGAAAACCCAAAATGCCTGTCCCAAAAAATTAGCATATTTCACCCCACCAATGAAAGTCAAGTGTTTTTAATACAAAAAACGCCAACCTTCAAATAATCATGTTCAGTTATGCACTCAATACTTGGTCGGGAATCCTTTTGCATGAATGACTGCTTCAATGCGGCGTGGCATGGAGGCAATCAGCCTGTGGCACTGCTGAGGTGTTATGGAGGCCCAGGATGCTTCAATAGCGGCCTTAAGCTCATCCAGAGTGTTGGGTCTTGTGTCTCTCAACTTTCTCTTCACAATATCCCACAGGTTCTCTATGGGGTTCAGGTCAGGAGAGTTGGCAGGCCAATTGAGCACAGTAATGCCATGGTCAGTAAACCATTTACCAGTAATTTTGGCACTGTGAGCAGGTGCCAGGTCATGCTGAAAAATGAAATCTTCATCTCCATAAAGCTTTTTAGCAGATGGAAGCATGAAGTGCTCCAAAATCTCCTGATAGCTTGCTGCATTGACCCTGCCCTTGATATAACACAGTGGACCAACACCAGCAGCTCACATGGCACCCCAGACCATCATTGACTGTGAGTGCTTCACACTGGACTTCTGGTATTTTGGCATTTCCTTCTCCCCAGTCTTCCTCCAGACTCTGGCACCTTGATTTCCGAATGACATGCAAAATTTGCTTTCATCCGAAAAAAGTACTTTGGACCACTGAGCAACAGTCCAGTGCTGCTTCTCTGTAGCCCAGGTCAGGCACTTCTGCCGCTGTTTCTGGTTCAAAAGTGGCTTGACCTGGGGAATGTGGCACCTGTAGCCCATTTCCTGCACATGCCTGTGCACGGTGGCTCTGGATGTTTCTACACCAAACTCAGTCCACTGCTTCCGCAGGTCCCCCAAGGTCTGGAATCGGCCCTTCTCCACAATCCTCCTCAGGGTCCGGTCACCTCTTCTCGTTGTGCAGCGTTTTCTGCCACACTTTTCCCTTCCCACAGACTTCCCACTGAGGTGCCTTGATACAGCACTATAGGAACAGCCTATTCGTTCAGCAGTTTCTTTCTGTGTCTTACCCTCTTGCTTGAGGGTGTCAATGATGGCCTTCTGGACAGCAGTCAGGTCGGCAGTCTTACCCATGATTGCGGTTTTGAGTATTGAACAAGGCTGGGAGTTTTTAAAAGCCTCAGGAATCTTTTGCAGGTGTTTAGAGTTATGTCGTTGATTCAGAAGGTTAGGTTAATAGCTTGTTTAGAGAACCTTTTCATGATATGCTAATTTTTTGGGACAGGCATTTTGGGTTTTCATGAGCTGTATGCCATAATCATCAGTATTAAAACAATTAAAGACCTGAAATATTTCAGTTGGTGTGCAATGAATCTGAAATATATGAAAGTTTCATTTTTATCATTACATTATGGAAATAATGACCTTTATCACAATATGCTAATTTTTTGAGAAGGACCTGTATAGTGAAACAGACACAGGCAAAAACATCAGTCCTTTCATCTGTGGAAGCCGATAATTACAGTGGTATGAAAAAATGTTTCCATTTTCTCCTTTCCTGTGGCACTAAATTCTGACAGTAGTTGAATAAAACATTTTCCTGCTTGTTGGTCTTGTCTGTCTGACTGAAAAGCAGTCTTTCTCACGCTTTTTGGGAAAACGCAGGTGGGACAGACTGACATGTTGTTTTAGCTTCCCACTCTTGCAGCTTTGTCCTTCCTAGTTCTGAGTCTTGTTTGGGTTCATGGAGGCCCTGCAGCTCCGTCTGTGGGTTTGTCGTCCATTTCAGACAACAAGACCTCCCACTGATGGGGATTATAAAGAATGGCTTTGCAGAAACTTATTTTGAGTTTTGACAATTCACAATAAGAGCAAAGCCAACATGGTGCATATTTTAGCCCCCCC